TCTTTTCAAAAATCATCAAACTTGACTTTTTAACTGAGGCTGTGATAAATTGGTAGTGGCGCATAAAACATGAATATATGGTATAGCAATTTCTGGACAGCACGCATAATCTTGGACAAATTCAATTATTTCTATCGAAAGAATGACCCAATTAATACTACTGTTACATACATTATGTACTTACGTTTGAAAAAGATCACCCCTTCCATCGTGAACGAATGAAGTCATCATGTAAATTATCAGCATGGCTGTTCAACTGTATCGCTTCAAATAAAGTAGGCGTGGAAAAATTTTACCAACACATTGGTATTCCTTGGATTGTTTTACATAAACTTAACGAATCACATCATGATGCGCTTTAATATTTCATTTGTTTTTGTCCTGTGTGCGACCGCCATTAAACGAGAAAGCAAGGAAGAGAAAGACTAGTTTTATGTATGGTCCAAAATGGACACATACAACGTAAGGAATGACTTATTTCCTATAATTAAAATTTTAAATATTTCAAAAAACACTAAAAAATCATCATTTTAAACACCGTTTGGTTTCAAGACAGTTTTAAGAAAGTGAAATAACGGAAAAACATTCACAAATCAACGAACAAATTATAAATTTGTCAAAATCACAGAATAACAAAGCTCGTCTTAGCCACCATCAGAAATAAGAAGCAGAGTGCGAGCAACAAAAAATGCCGTCAAGTTGGCGCTGGACTAGCAAGCTGTCTACTTTTCGCAAGGTGGTATGAGAAAGACAGCAGAATTTTGCGACAACTATACACGACACTTTTTTGATAGCACGTTCATACTTTTGTTTATTATAGGGAAAAAAAAAAAATTTGGATGAATTCTCAACATGACTTGTCGAAAATTTTGGTAAGACACTGCAGTGATACACATACATACAATAAATATTTATTTTATTTTTATTATTACCAATTTATTCAACCCTCCTAAAAATTAAATATTTCAAGAAATAACCGTACCGAGATTCGATATTGGTTTTGCTTTAGAATATTGATGTAGTTATATGTGTCTCAAAAAAAACATCAGTTTGAGGGATTTATTGTATTCATTAAAATTCAGAAATAGCTTAATAATTTATTTTATCGGATAACTCATATTTACTTTCTCCGAAATTCTGACCAAACTATTACGTCATAATTAGTGTTACTTGTATATGCATTCATTATATTATAGAAGTCAAAAGTGTCAAATTCGTCGCTTCCACCAAATGTTCAATTTTAATTGTGATTTACTTTTGAACAAAGTAGGTAACACATATTAATTTTATTATACACTGTGACAAAACAGTTAATTTTATTTCTTTTTAGAGACAATGAAATTGTCTTAAATAAAACCATCAACTCTAACAATTATCTCGTTTTATTTTACTTCATAGCAAGTCTGTATTTTCTATTGTACCGCTTCTCATCGTTAACTTGTCTGTTTTCCCTTATCTGTACCACCCATCGAAAAAAAAATCTAAAAAAAAGAAAGTAAAATCATTTACATCGCGCTTATAGTTTTTCTTTTTTCCTAAAATTACATCAAAGTTGAAAACTTTTCACAACCTACAATGCCCAAAAAATTGTATTTCCGAAACATTTCCCTAACTACTAATTTTTGCAGATTCAAAATTTCTCCAATGTTCGATGCTTTTTAGATGAACGTATGAAGGTTTGCTAAAACAACTGAATGAATTAATTTTAAGAATGAATTAGTGGAAAACAAAGACTTTTGCGTTCCTATAAAGGCTGGTTTGCAGTTCTTTAATATACCTACTTAAGTTCAACAACTTTCACTCGATCTTAAAAATTTTAAGCTTAAAATTTAAACTGAACTTCCGACCACAATAATTCTACGAGTAGTTTGTTTTTATAAAAAAGAAATCTCAAATTAAAAAATCAATACTAACCAAATTCACCGTAAATCAGTTCTAAATTCATAAATTCCATCTCATTGCTGCTCAGAAAGCACAAACCGAAAAAAACTGGAGTTAAAAATCTTTAGACGCAAAAAATCTCAATAGAAAACTGGATTAGTATTAATAATGATTTTTACTGGTCTTATTAGGTACTGAACTGGTAGCAAAAAAAAAGAAAACGATTTGCAACATCCTGTTTAATTATACCACTGCCGATGGACCTTCAGTAATAAAGGATATACGGAAGTAAAAAATAAGATTTATACACAATTAGTACTTACAAAAATCGCACTGTTCTTCAAAATTAAGACTGAAGTACATTTTGGAAGAAAATATTGTTTGCAAAAAAGATAATGATAAATAATTTCTACAAATTTGAAAAACTGTTCGACTAAAAAAAAGTTCGATATATAAAAAAAATGAAGAATTACAAATTTTCATAAAAAAAACTGCTTATAAATATTATACATTTTAAATTATTTTTCTCGTTGACAAGCACTCATTTTTAAAGACGTTTTACGTAAAAAAAAATGGTTAAAATTCAGCCGTCGAAACTATAAACATTTCAGTGCTAATAACGCCAAAGCTAAGGATTTTTTTTTTAATTTAATTTATTAGCGTAAAACAAAACAATATTTGTAAAGAAAATGTATAAACAAATTGAAGTGTTTCTTGGCTCCGAGGTATTTTCAAGCACTCCTTGTGAATTTAAAAAATATATGTGTAAAAAAAAAAACTAACTCTATATAATATTACAATATTACTATAGCACGTTCTGTTGAAATACGTTATTTCTATGAAAACAAAATGAAAATATATTTTTAAAAATTACCATGAATTTAGTGCTAAAAGTCTATAAAGGTCCCCAAATTATGCAAAAAAATTATTAAAAAAAATTGTGAATGAATTTGACCGAAAATAATGAAGACGAAATAAATTTTTTTACACGGACGACATTTTCGAAATTTGAAGCTGTAAAAGTTGTATTTCTTCTAAAGTCGGCTATTTTTAAATATATTTTGTAACTTCAGCTTTACCTGAAATGAATATTACAAAAAACGTACAAATCGATAACAATTTCAGTAAAAAAATTTAAATTTGAAAAAATATGGATAACCATTTTTGAACATTTAAAAAAATGCTTCGCGCAGCCAATGTTTTAAACATGATTTAGAGAATTTTCGATTACCACTTTCACGGCTACTACAATTCTTTAAAAGTCACGAACAACACAGAAATTTTGAAGGTACAAAATAACAAGATAATATTGAGCTTTATACATTTTCAAAAATATACCTGTGTTGCTATTGACGAAATAAGGATAACGTCATAATTTTTACGATGTTAACTCAAAATTTTTGGATTTGTTTTATAGACTGCGAAGAATCGACTGAAGTGATCGAGTGTTTTTTGTAATTTTATTCCCAGTAGAGAACAAGAGATATTCGCTTAAAAGTTTACAAAATATTTTCAAATCTTCGCTGTGCTTTTAAATATTAATAATAATAATAAGGCTTTATTCCCAACAGGTTTACACCCAATAACAAGGAAAACTAAATATTATATGTATATAAAAAAATTGTCACCATGCAATGTTTCAGCTGGTTTAATTTTTTATTTCGCCAAGAATTAAAAATAAATAATCATGTAATAAGCATTACTAAAATAAGATACCAACCTACTAAATTTTGAAATAATATACCGTAATACTTGTTTAGTTCTGATATAATAATAATCAGTTCTGTTTTTTTTTTTTGTATTTTTGTATATATTTTTTCCATTAGCGCCGCAGAGATTACTTTTGATTTAAGTATACTACAGTTAAGGAATTTAATGTTTTTGCCACACTTAAAATAAAAAATTATATTTTACTAACTACAACAGTCAGACATTTTTAACACCAAAATGTGATACGAATTCCACTAAAAACTTTGGATTGTCTCCCCATTTTGAAAAATGTAACAAAAACAATAAAGCATTCATATGAAAAAAAAATAAGTTAGTATTCGTTAATCCGAAATTTAGTAGGCTATGTGTTGGTTTCGAAGCGCACAAGTAGCTAATGCTATGTAATATCTTACTATCAAATATGAGATTTATTCCATGAGGAATAATAGAGGTGTAAAATTTTAGTTTTTGTAAAATTGTAACCTGCTGTATCTACTGTATCTATCTAGTTTAAAAATTCGCTGAAATTTGCGCTCAAAATGCAGCCCGTCATTTTGTCTAATTTTCAAATTGACGTTTTTAGTTTTTTTTTTACACATTTTTCAAGGGACTCTGTTAACTTTGTATGGTCATTATTTGTTTGTTGTTCTCAGATGAACTAAGCTAGTAAGTACTTAATCATGAAATCTAAAAAAAAAAAAGAAAAAAAAAAGAAACTCAAGAAAGAGTTGTTTAGTTGCGATAGATTCTTCCTTCTTGATATGTAGTTGGTTTATTTATTAATACTGGTATTTTAAAAAAATATTGGCAAACCAACGGTTGCTTCCAAATCTATTACAGTCAAAGGATATTTTATTAAGACTTTCTCATTATTCTTATACTTTTCTCAACTGTGTAGTATAATTGTAGTTTCAAAAATTTGTAAAAAGGTAACCAATAAATTGTATCCAATATTTTCTTGTTCCTGCTGTATTATAAAAATAATTCAAAGAGCTCACATAACTTCAACATCCTGCTCTTTCTTTATAATTGCTGCTGCCTAGAGATTGAACACACGACAAAACGATCGTTTTGGAACATTTGAAAGTCAAAAAATGCAGTGGAAGAAAAAAAAATGCTCGCACCCCGTCCAACAAAAGTTTTGTAATCGCGGTCCGCACAAAAATCCCGAAGCCCCTCTCATATCTATCGTAAAAAAAGGGGTCGCCGAAACCCTTTGTAATGCAAATGCGCCCCATACGAAACCATCCCCCACGCATGCTCCACGTGTCCGCTTGCCCCAAATTGCCCCAAATTACCCCAAGAAGCATTACGCAACAGCCCTCGCATCCGTCTAGCGTCGGTGGCGGCGTTTCCGTATTATTGATCCAGACTTATCTAGCTGTCTAGACGTTGTGGTAGACACTTACCCCCTTCGCCTCCAAACCCCCAACGGGGGGCGACGACCTCCAAACCCCCATCCGAGCCCAGCGGCGCACGTCGCGCTCGCAACCCCGCGGGACGCCGCTGCCTCCATGTGATTTCCTGGGAATGGACCCATCCAAGTAACCTCAAAGTGGGCGCTTTTCGGGCGCGGACGGGCCGCCCGCCGCCGCCCGGAGCCGGGCGGCCGCCGCGCCGCCGGCACTCGCGCGGGGCCTCCGGGGGGCGCCTTCTCCGCCGAAAAAGCGAAATTAGGTCAACCCGAGCCTGCCTCCAACCTCGCACGGAACGACGGCCGCCGACCGCCGCCAGATCACTGGACGTGGGGGCGGCGGGCCTGCCGCCGCCGCACCGCCACAAACACACAGGATTTCACGCGATAACTGCGAAAAAAACGTTGAATCCGCGAGATTATTTCAATATCAACTACAAGTTTATTCGCGAATTCATCGCAGAGACATCTGGTGGGTTTGATTCGAGGTGAAATTCGCGAATGACGCGCGGGAGTTTTCAAATTTTTGAATTTTCGAAACGGATGCTTACGGTTCCGACGCGATTTTTTCGCCGAAATTCGATTTCATCTGCACCGGGATAGGGTCGACGTGGTTGTGAAGGACGGGGGTCGGTCGCGGATACACATAAATCGATTAAACATCGGGGACACCCTTCGTCACGAATAATCCTACTTAATCCACCCCTGGCCCCTCCGGAACGCTAATGAGGCCTTTAATACTTCTAGAGGGGTTGTTATAATTGATATTTTTTTGACCACAGAAGTAGGCGGTGAAATGGGGGGGACGCCATTTTGTTAGACGCCATTGCACTTTTCACCCGAATCCTTCGATAACTACAAGTTAAAAACGAAAGCGAACGCAAGAACGAAATTTCTTTCTTCGTTTCATTTCGTAGGAAAGATAATTTGATATAAAAAAAATATATCAGCACAGACAACAACCCAGCAATAGAAAGGATGTTACGTTCAAACGTCATCAGAGGTCGCTGTAATCGCAACACCGTTTAACACTTTTTACAGGTTTTTGTGATTTTTTAGGTTATGTAGGTTATTTATTTATAAATATTGTATAAATACACGTAACCCTATAACACTGCGTATTTTTCGTAATTGTAATTTTTCTTTGCAGATATAAGATTTTTTTAATACACAATTTGTGTGGAAGGCAGTTGTCGAAGATTCCTTTTTTTAAAAAAGTGTTGCAATGCCTCCTCAGTTCTATTTAATTCTGGTAACGTAATGTGTAATCCCAAGAGTTTGGATTCTGACGTCAGTTTTAATTTCACAGTTGTCAACAGCCGTTGCCTCTGCGAAAGTGTCTCTATTCAAGCTGGAAGGCGAAGTGAGTGGACAAGAGTTTGTCTACTACAAAATAATGCACCCAGGGAACTTGCTGCTAGTTCTAGAGAGCGCGTACGAAAGTTAATTTTGCTAAAATTTTAATTATAACTTTGCGTTTATAGTGAAGGTGATGCCGACATGTATATTTCTGAGAAGACACCTTCTCCGACATACCACCCAGATACCTATGATTTGCATTCGGCAACCTGTGGGACAGACTCAGTGACCATTCCCAAAAAGTGGGACTAATGGTTTTAACAGCCATTTCAATTCTTATTTTTTCTTGTTTACAGCCTGAAGAGACCCATGGCAGTTGGTATATATGGGTATTCCGCTTATAATAAGTTCACTCTGGAGGTCTATCAGATGCCAGATGCTGATAGTGCTTATTTATATGACGAGGAGGAGCTTAATAGAGATTCTGCAGATAATGGTGACACTATGGTCAGCGAAAAGAAAGATACCAGGAAGGTGGGTTCCAAGGTGAAGAAGAAGTTGAAGAATATACCAAACGGCTTGTGGCCGTTTTTGGAGCTGTTTGAGATGCTGTTTTTATGATTGTTTGATCTAGGCGTAATTTTCTTAGTGACCTGTTGACCTTTTTCCATATGCAAGTACCTTTTTTTAAAAAAAAAACCTCTATTCTTACTTTAACGTGGGCTGTGTTATCTATTTTAAATGATATTTATATATGAAGTTGTGCCATTTTTGCCTTTATTAAATTGGAGTGATTGAAAGAATTTGTTTTACAATACAAAATTTACCATCATTGTATTGTTGGTTGTCTATTCTGACTCAAAGAAAAATCTTAAAAGTGTACATTTTTCGTACTTCTACGACGTAGAAAATACATTTATGGCGATTAAGAACAAACTGAATGAAAATACACAATTTCTTTTCATACTTGTCCTTTTGTCGGTTCCTTTTTACTTCCCGAGCGTAAGCTAAGGAAGTTTTGTAATCGACTCCATCGCCCGAATCCCTACTCCGGTGTTTTCTCGACCTTTCATGCCCCTACATTACGAAGAAATAGGTCTCCCGTTTCCGCACCAACAATTTTATAATGTGATCTCCAAAATTTACAATTGTAATTTGTTTTTATTGTTATAAGAGATAAATAAGATATTCCTGCATGTGTAATGTATGAATCTGCGTTGAGTTTTCACACACATCCAGATTTTAAAAAAAGTCAAAGTGGTTTAACGACATTTTGCAATTTGACAACGAAACTCTGAAATCTTGTAATCGTTTTAAGGTTATCGTAAGCATGGTAAATCGTTAATCAAAATTTATTCGTTTATCCCCTTTCAAAAAATTGATGACGTTATCTCAAAATTTTGGCGAATATATCCTCTCTGAAATAAGGAAACAAATTTTGACTCTGTACTTGTGGTGTATCATGCACTCATGGTTTTTAGAATTACTTATACGGGGAAATTAAAAAAAAATCCAAAATCGAAAAGGTGGAAAATCGAAAAATTGCAAACTGAAGAAGTGAAGAAACGAAAAACTGACACATTGAAAAACTAAAAATCGAAAAAATGTATGAATTGGAAAAATAAAAAACGGATCGAATCGAAAAATTATAGAATCGTCAAAATTGTAAAGTCGAAAACTGTAACATCGTAAGATTGAAAAAGTAAAAATCGAAGAATTGAAAAATCGTATAAATTAAAACGTTATAAAATCTAGTAACTTAAAAGCGGAAAATTCTAAAATTGTAAAATTGAAAAAGTGGAAAATCTTCAAAATTATGATTATTACGATCAACGAAAAATTGATAAAATAAAGAAAAGGAAAAGCCGAAACGGAAAATTGCAAATCGAAAAATTGAAAAATCGAAAACTTGAAGAAATGATAAACTGAGAAGATTGAAATTAAAAAATCAATAAAATATAAAATCGGAATACTAAAAAATCGAAAAACTGTTAAAATAAAGCTAATAAAAACCCGAAACGACAAATTGCAAATCGGAAATTCGAAGAAACATTGGAAAAAATAAAGGAATTAAAAAACCGAGACGAAAAATTGAAAAATTAAAAATTGAAAACTCAATGATGCGGATGATATGATGAAACTTGTGAAGTGATGATATTGGTTATTACATTTTTGTTGTTGAATTTAATTGTTGTTTTTGGTCCATTGATTTTTATAATAATAGAGAAACTCAAATCGAAAAATTGCAAAATCTAAAAATTTAAAAACTCAGGTCAAAAAAGCTGCGAGAGTGTTACTTACGCCAGTGGTTTTTACCTTTTTACTTTATAGAGGTTATCAGAAAACAAAAATTGCAAACAATTTTTATAATTTTTCAGAGAGGCGGTATTTGTTCAGCTACACTTCAGGGGCTAGGAAAGTTGTGTCGAAATAACCTTTGATACAATTTTTTGAACATAAATAAGAATTAACTGAACTGACCTTTTGTCGACGATACGCTTTAATCAATATATCATATTAAATTTTCCTGTTGTTATGCAACAAACAATACACCACTGCCATAAGGTTGGTAACCCTGTCAGGGGCAACGACCAACCACTTGATTAATCACACCAATCCTCGCCGAAAAAGCCTCCATCCCCCGCACCCATCTCGCTCCTCCTTGCACCGATCCGCAATCTCTCTCTCTCAATCGCGCCGCATATATAACCGAGCGCTTGCTGGATTTATCGACTGCCTTTTAAATAATGCTCGAGTAACGAAGACACCGTTCAGGGCCAAAGGGGTGAGTTTTACGTAATTTCATCAATGAAAGTTGACATATTTTTGGGTTTAGGACAAAAATGAGTTGCGAAAACGAAGAATTACCGCTGCCTTCCCCTACGACCGCGCAAGCGATTAACGTTGTGTTCGAGGCATCCACACAGACCCCCACAAACGAGGACTGCGAGTCGCCCCTGTTCACCCCCAAGGGGTATTGTCTGAGGACCGCGGAGCACAGCAGCAGTGCGCTCAGTAATATACAAAAGATGAAGCAGCAAGGACAGGTCTGTCGTAGACTAGTTTGTAGTAGTAGTGGAGGCTTTGACCTTCGTGGGCGTTTGCCCGATCAATTTCGACAGTTTTATAATAGTTACGTAGTAAATGTTTAATTGGGGTTTTATTGCACGTCGTTTTCTTTTGTAGCTGTGTGACATTACGTTAAAAATAGGCTTAGAGAGGTTTAGAGCCCATAAGGTCGTTTTAGCGTCGGTTAGCCCATACTTTTTCGCCATGTTCAACGGTACGTTGGTTCTCGGGCAAGTGTGAAAGGAGGCGTAGAAATGCAAAAAAAAAATAATAATAAAAAATTGCGTTTCTACATTTCCCTTTCATACTGTGGCCTCCTCTAATGCTCCGCGTCTAGGCGACATGAAAGAACACGGCCAAACCGAAGTTACCATCCACGACCTGGACCCCACGGCCATCGATCTCCTCATCGAGTACGCCTACACCGGCCAAATCGTCATAACCCCGGACAACGTTCAAGTCCTCCTGCCCGCCAGCAGCGTCCTGCAGATGCAGGAAGTGCGCGAAGCCTGCTGCAAATTCCTCTTGAGGCAACTGCATCCGACCAACTGCCTCGGAATAAGAAGTTTTGCCGATACTCACTGCTGCAAAGAGCTGCACCTCAAGTCGCACGTCTACGCCCTGCAGAATTTCCAGCAGGTGGTGGCCACCGAGGAGTTCCTCCTTTTGCCCTTTGAGGAAGTCAAAGAGCTCATTTCCAACGGCCAGTTGAACATCTCTTCCGAGGAAGACGTGTTCACGGCCGTTTTGAACTGGGTTAAGCACGATTTGGCCGAGAGGAGCCAGTTCATTTCGCGGGTGAGTTAAAATAGTTTTATCTTGTTGTTGGATGAAAGTAGGTCGATTGAGGTAATGGAGATAAGAAAATAAATTGAAACGCGGATGGTTTAATTGGGGCGTAGGCGCGGGTCAGGTTACGGCGATTACAATTGGAATTTATTCGAATGCTAATTCGTAAAAACAAAACCTCAGAAATTCTCCACAAAAAAATCAATTAATGATTGTGATCTGTGTAGTGTTCTACCCAATTTTTATGTAACTGGACTAAAAATTTTGAATAAGTACAATGTAATAAACATAAAACCTCTCTGCGATTATGCATATGTTTAGTACATATTAAAGAAATGTGACATGTATAGTTGGTTGTCTACCCAACTTATAGTTACTAGACATTGTATGAATGTTTGCAATTATTTTTGCAGCTGATGGTCCATGTCCGCTTGCCCCTCGTCAACCGCGAGTTTCTCATGACCCGAGTGGACAGCGAGCGCCTCATCCGCGACGACAGCGAGTGCCGCGAGCTGCTACTGGAAGCCATGCGTTACCACCTGGCCCCCGAGCGCAGGTGCGCCTTATCCACCACCCGTACCATCGAGCGCAAGCCGAAAGGGGCCGATCCGTACCTGTTCGCGGTCGGCGGGGGCTCCCTCTTCGCTATTCACGCCGAATGCGAGGTCTACAACCCCAAAACCGACACGTGGTCGGTGATCGCCCCCATGCTGTGGCGCCGCTCGCGTTCGGGCGTTACCGGCTTGCGTCGGTTGCTGTACGTGGTGGGAGGATACGACGGCAACTCGGATCTGGCCACTGCCGAGTGCTACAACCCGCTGATTAATTCGTGGAGTCCGATCACGCCCATGGGGACGAAGAGGTCTTGTTTGGGTAAGGTTGGTTGGACGTTCTCGTGCGAGATTGAATGGGACGAATTTCTAGGAATCTGCTCGTTCGACGGACTGATTTACGTCTGCGGGGGCTACGACGGGGCGTCGTGTCTGAGCTCGATGGAGCGGTACGACCCGTTGACGGGAATATGGTGCAGTTGTCCCGCGATGAACACCAGGAGGCGCTACTGTCGCATTGCGGTGGTGGAAAACTGTGTGTATGCGCTCGGCGGTTTCGATTCCACGAATTATCAGGCGTCGGTCGAGAGGTTTGATCCGAGGGAGGGTACGTGGGCGCCTATACCGTCGATGTCGTCTAGGAGAAGCAGTTGCGGAGTGGTGGCTTACGACGGTCATTTGTTTTGTATCGGCGGCAATGACGGGACCATGTGCATGTCGAGCGGAGAGAAATTTAACGTTCGAAGGAACGCATGGGAGCCCATCACCGCCATGCATAATCGAAGGTAAGAATATAGTGGCGATGTCTCTTTTAACAGGGTTCCCACTTTTCTGGAAAAAAACCGTGAAGTCGGGGAATTTGCCCAAAAAACCTGGAATTTCTAACCATTTATTACCTATAATTCATTTAATCATTAAAAAAAGTACCCGCGTGGATTTCAAGTGTTTTCACTTTTCTCGTGTTGGTTATTAACTTCTAAAAAATCTTTTATGTCAGCTTTGGTCATGGAATTTTTGTCTGCGAAGACCTGGAAAGTCAGCGTATGTCAGGGAATTTGATGCACAACTTTTAGTGGGAACCCTGTTTAAATACATAGTTTTCATTATAATTGTTATTATTACCATCATTTTTCAGATCAACCCACGAAGTAGTCGCCATGGACGGATTCATTTATGCACTAGGTGGTAACGATGGGTCTTCGAGTTTAAATTCTGTCGAAAAATATGACCCTAAATTAAATAAATGGGCGGTGGTGTCCTCTATGTCGATTCGTCGAAGTTCGGTAGGAGGCGCTGTTTTAGACTGCATAAATATCGAGTACGTCTTAAAGCAGACGATGAGTTGAATCATAGTACAAAAGAATCCGTGCAATTATACAAATTTCGACGTTCTGTGATAACAAAAAGAACCAAAAATATGAAACGAAGTTACGAGTATTCTAAGTCAAATATTTTATATTTATATGGGGTTAAGCACTTGATCGTGTTGAGTTTATCGTGGGGCGCACTTTACTATTTTATTATTTCCTACGCTGAGGAATTTGAAACGGAAAAGTACAGTGGTGCCCCCTTTTATGGTTATTCAAGCTTATAACCGCATATATGGTTTAAGTAGTATTCACATTAGACCTTTGATGTATTCTATTAAGCGATGTAGTTTATGTGCACAGTTTTAGATCGACTAATGGACCCGAAACGATCGTAGCTTGGCCTAAATCATTTAAACACTGCCATTGTTGTGTAGCCTGTGTCCGGAATTAAATAAAATCGAACACTAAGAATGTTTTTATTGTGTAACATGACATTAAAAAAATAATAAACAAGTATAAATGCAGCACTTTGTCGCCAATCGTCCCTTATCCAGACATTCGATCGGCGAATTGCCAGGCCAAACTTACAACCGTCTTGTTCTCATTCTGACCACCCATTTGCACAGTTTCGGTTTCGTCAAAACCTAAAATGGGTACCAAAATCAAACAAGACTTCGTAACAATCTGACGTTTTATTTGACGCTTATCTGAATATTTTTACAAATAGTAACAAACAAATATTCATGGAAAGAGGGCTTATATAAAACTTAACGCTCGCTACATTTACAATTATACTCAGTCCTTACGTTTGAGTTTCTCAGATTGTTCGTCAAACTCCTTATCTGAGATATTCAACATTAAGCTATTACCGCTAAGATATACTCGGTTTTGTGAATTGGCGATCTGAAAGCACACTTTCAGTTCAAGAGAGTACTAACAAAAAGAAAATGCCACTTACGGTTCTGGAGATATTTTGGGCCGCTCGGATTTTCCGCAACTTCAAATAACCCGGGTTTTGGGAAATGGCTTCACCTAAGTAAGATTTAGTTAAGAAAAAAGTGACAATAATAAAGTTAAACTACGTAGACCTGGTTAGTCGACTATGACTAAACTATAGTACTAGACTATGAGTCAGAAGCGACTTACCAGCAACTTTCCACCATTACTCACAAATTAAGGAAAATAAAAGTTACAATCTTAAAATTTCGCTAGCGGTTTAGTGAAAAAACGGCGACATGCAAAATGCAATGAATATCACACGTAACCAAAAGCAATTTTCATATGAAAAGGATATCATTTTGGCGGCTTCAGCTTCACCCTCAGCTTGTACAATTTTCTGTTGCCTCTCCTGCTTCGCCCTCTCGACGATAAAAGCCGCTCGCTGCGCCTCCTGTTGTGCAACTTGTTTGGATTCGACGGCAGCCGTGTATTCTTTACCGAAAGACAATTCCGTTATTGACACATCATCCAAGATTATGTTAAAGTCTCTCGCGCGCTCGGTCAATTCTCTTCGAACCAAAAGAGACACTTGTTGCCGTTGCGTGATCAATTGTGCAGCGTTAAATTTAGCGACGACCGACTTGAGAACTTCATTACAAATCGAGGGTAGGACTTTCTCATCATAGTCCAACCCTAACTGCCTATATACAATTGGTAACTGCGTCGCGTTCGGTCTGGACAGAACTCTCAATGAGATATTCACCATTTGTAAGTCTTTGGAACCTGTGGGCGACGAGATCTTCCTAGGCCTCGATCTACGAACAACGTATCAACAACGTAACACATACATTGGAAATCTTTTACCGGATGTCGTAAATAATAGGGTACTGGAACCAAGGAACACGAAAATGCAACCCTTCCGTGTAAATGTCTTTCTGTATGCCTCCAACTCGATTGAACATGATGGCACGGTGGCCCCCTTCAACTAAGAGCACGTGAATTCTCTTACTGATGTTTTTTTGTGGGCTGAGCACGTACCTGTGTACATCGACTGGGAAATTCCGTAAGCTGCGGCGCCTCCTACGACGAGAAGTTTGAGCCCCAGGCCCAGGCCAGGGGGGCCCCCTTTGCCAAATTTGCCGGCGAGATCGTTGAGCTTGCTTTGAGCCATTCGTGAGATGTATTTACACAGTTACACAACAATATAAAATTACGAAAACGTGACTTCGACGCTTGCAGTAAAATGGCTACTTGACATTAATGACGCACAGGAATGCCAATCGTAGACGGAAAATTCCTGTATCCCGTATTGCGGAAATTTGGATTGGAAGTGGCGAAGATCACCCGAACGGTATACTTCACTTGCAAAATGAAACCGGCGAGTACTTGTTCATTTTCAAAGCGAAATAAACCAAGGAACGGGATATTATATGAAAAGCATAACATACATTTTGATTTTTTTTCCAAAAATGTGGATGTGTAAGATGATTTGCCAGTTTTTGGTTAGCGTGTTACCATCTGCATGATATTCTTAACACACATACAATTTTACGACAATCGGCCCAGTAGTTTAATAAAAATCCGGATAGACAAAAAGAAAATTAAACACAAATATCTAAAGATGTAGTTTCTTGACGTAGCGAAAACAGCTTCGTTTAAATTGCCTTGCAATTTACGCTACATCTTATTAAATACGTAGATTAATATACTATGTAAACAAACCATTACCTTGCATCTGCCGATTACGGCAAACATTATTTATACACAATGATAAAAACGTTCAAGGTTTAATTATCTCCAACTCGTAATATACATGTCTCGTTATCAGTTCTGATTCACAGTTGAAAATAGGTGCACAGACTGATAAAATAAAAAAACAACCGTACATTCCTCGTTAAGTCTGCGAACTGTGATCACGTTCTTGGTAAGTACTTTAAAAACTTTATTTTCTTAAAATCATCCCACTACTTGACAGTAATTGAAACGATCCTTATGTCGTCGTACGGTTTATCCGTCTTGGCGTTGGTCTTAACGTTACTAATATTCTGCACCACCTCCATCCCCTTCACCACTCTCCCGAACACCGTATGCTTATTGTCCAGCCACGGCGTCGGCGTAAGCGTAATAAAAAATTGACTTCCGTTGGTATTCGGGCCGGCGTTCGCCATACTAACAGTGTATGGCCTGTCGTGTCTCAAATGCGGCCTGATCTCGTCCTCGAACTCGCCGCCCCAGATGCTCTCCCCGCCCGTGCCGTTTCCCGTGGGGTCGCCCGTCTGCACCATGAACCCCTTGATAACCCTAGAAAAAAAATTGGCCCAAGGTTATTTCGATAGAACTTCCCTCGTCCCTGAAGTACAGCCCAACAAATCCCATTTATGGTTGCCAACTAAGGTATCTTGACCCACAGACTCCGGGTATCTCTGGGTTCAGACATGTTAATGTAAAAAAAAGCGCTGTAGCTTGACCGTAAGCTTCACTGACACGATAAAATATCGTTGGCCTAATTTTCAAAGTGCGCAACTGGAATTTTTCCGAAAATGAGATTTTGATGTTTCTAATCTGATTTAGAAAAAGACACTACGTTCTCATCACCTGTGGAAGATGTGACCGTTGTAGTAGCCGTTCTTCGCGTGAACGCAGAAATTCTCGACCGTCTTCGGCGTGTCCTTCATGAACAGCTTGACGTGGATGTCGCCGAAGACGGTGTGAATGACCGCGTTCTCGTAGAGGCGCTGGACGGCGGGGTTGTCGGTGGCGGCGAACGTGTCTTCTTTGGACGGCTTCTCGTTGAAGACGTCGCGGTCTTGGTCACCTTGGAGGTCGTCGGGTTCGCGTCTGCTGAAAAGGTAGAAGCGCGACTTCTTGTAGGCGGTGCACACGAAAGTGGGGTCGGGCTGGATGGCCTCGAGGGTCGGGTTGTTGGAGGCTTCGATTTCGAGGGTGACGGCAGCTTTGCCCTTCTTCGCTGAACCTTGAAAAACGAGAGAATTCCCAGCAAGGTTAAAGTACAAACAGGCAATATGGAGAATTCGAAAACATTTTTGTTTATCGAATTGAGTACGATTATGGTGGCGGCACCGTTTCCATTTTTTTTTAATGTTTAGTCGTTCGTTTTTATTATAATTGTAAATTTATTCCACGGATTATTGTTATTATTATTATTTATAAATATGCAACGCTGTTCCATACGTCCGATAAGGTCGACAAAGCCATGAGTTAAATAAAAACTCCATTCTTCATGCTCCATCTTTTAGTTATTTGCGTTTAATTTTGTTTTTATTTCTTGAGCGTAAGCTGTCTATCTGTCGTCTAATCATCGCCACCATCAATAGGATGACGTCACCTCCAAAATGTACAATAATATATATTTTTTAATTTTATAAAATAAGAACATTTTACAATTTAACTTTAAAACTGCAAAACCGAATGCTCTGAAATCTTGCAGCCGTTTCAAGGTTATCGCAAGCACGGACATCATTAATCAAAATTTATCCGTTCATTCCCTCCCGTCCGCAAAAAAATGATGACGTCATCTCAAAATTTTGTAATACAAAAACTCATTTAAAACAAACGCGTAACACAATTCTTTACATTTAATTCAACATTACATATACCTATATCTTATAATTTTTCTAAAAATCTGGATTTATTTGCCTTTTTTCTCTCACACTCATAAATTTTTTCGTTCCGATCCCTATTTCCTTATCTCTCCGTCAGTGTTTGTCCTGTAACTTATCATTTACTTACATCTTTTCCCATACCGTCTCCTCTTTTAAAAATTAGCAAGCACATCTAGATTTCACTAAATTCGAACGCTGTTGTTTTACAGAAATGGACGAAGAAACCGTCGTGTTCGAGATCCAGGTCGACAAGAAAGTCTTCGAGCAACTCTTCAAAGAAAACAAACACTTCAAAGATAGCTACGAGCGCCTCGTCAAGAGCGGGAGTTCCCTAAGAGCCCTACACGACGAGATTGCAACCTTAAAGCTCGAAAACAAAAATTCAGAGCAAACCATCAAAAATCTTGAAAGTGAAAACAGCAAACTGAAAAATTTGGAACCAGACTTCCAAAGCAAAAAGATCGAAGATCGACTGAGCGAAAGTAGCGAAAATGTTACAAACTTAGCCGAAGAACTCCGAAAGACTAAAAAACTGCTATTAAAAGCGGAAGCGGAAAACAGGCAATTGGACAAAGACAATCTAAATCTGGAGCTCCAAGTGAAGAATTTAAGTAGGAAATTGCGACTGGAAGAGGAAAGAAACAAATCGAACGACTTAGCCCATGCGGAATGTAAACTGTTGAAGCTAAAATTGCAATCGGTCGAGAACGAGAAAAAGTACCTTCTGGAAGAGTTCGAAAAGGAAAGAAAGATCATAAGCAAACAAAACAAACCCAGAGTTGCTAAGTTGGAGGAGAACTTGAAGTACCTGAGGAGATGGATAGAAAAAGAAGCCAGAGAACGCCGTCCTCACGAGTTAGAAGAAGTAAAGTCTTTGAAGGAGCAAATACATATTCTGGAGAATGATAAAATCGACCTTATCGAAGGATTCGAGTTGGAACGAAAAATTTTCCAAAAAATCGTTAAAGCAAACGGGAATTACGACCTACCTTGATACAGAGCGATGTCCAGCAGCCTTAAATTTTCATTTTTTCCTATAATTCGTACACACTTGTTTGAATATAAATTCACCAATTTAATCCCCAATAAAGTAGCGTACATTATGAAGTGGCCGCTGTAATCAAATACAATGTTTGCTAAGGACATAGCTTCTGATTTTTCCAAATCACGTTCCACTGCCATTCTTCGCCCGAATTCCATGTTTGGAAGTTGTTGTGTCGCTTGCTGCAGTTCAGTGAAGCGTGGTAAAGTCTCATCCAGGACCCTAACTAACTTTCCGGTTACAAAATTGAAAACCCTGACTCTACGGTCGGTGCAAATGGTGGCGAAACGCGTACCATCCGGCGAGAAAGCCAACCCAATCGGAGTCGTTTTGTTTTTGGCAAATTCAAACAAATCTGTGTCAAGTTTTGAATCGAATTTGACGTTCTTTGGAAAAATGCAATCCTGTTTTAAGCTCGTCCAATATTCGAGAATTCCTGCTTTATCTACCGACACCACAACGTCATATTTATGATTATATTTAATCAAAACAACCGCTTGCGTGTGTATCTTCTCTAAAACTTTCAAAGCCTTGTTATCCGACCTTCCATCATAAATATATATTTTCGGGGAATCCGCATCTGTAACGGCTAAAGCGTGCACCGGGTCCCCAGGCCCATGCACCCACTCCACTTGATTCGGCACATATTCAAACTTCATCATATTGATCATGTCAAAGTTAATCACATCGAAGATCTTCAACGACTTATCCAGAGAAGCTGAACAGAACAAAGTTCCTTCGACGTTGCACGCGATTTTCGTGATGGGGCCCAAATGGCTTCGGAAGTGTTTGACGAACTCGATTCCGGTTTCCACTTTCTTCCAGAATTTGATGTGGCCGTCGTAGCTGGCCGTTATGATGAAATCGGTGTTGGAGACAACGCAGTGCGTGATGACGTCTCGATGCATGTAGCTTTTCTCGTAAGACTCGGCGCAGGGGAGATTGTCGAGATAGAGACCTTCGTGGGATAGGCGGCGGCGCTTTCTGGGCTGCGGCGCTTCGGTGGGGGAGGGCCCCACGAAGTCATGAGAGTTTTCGTTGTCTGACATAACCTTCAAAATGGACTTTGGGTTAGGTTTGCAAATGAGGATTTTTGATATTTACGTACCGAAATAAATGAAGAAACGATGCGAAATATCCACGGCGAAGTTATTTAAATGCGTACGAAAAGGTTAAAAACGATTTTTAATTTTTTGAAAAACGAGCTACCGCTAATGTAAGACCTCTTAAGACCAAGATAGGTAGCTCCAATACATCACATTCAAATTGTAGATTAGTGTATTTTTAATTATATATTTATATATAAAACTATATATATTTAAAGTGTTGCATTTGAGTTGAAGGGCGAGGGAAGTTATGTCCAAATAGGTAACCTTCCTTTTATTTCTGTTTTAGCCGAGACGTAGTTCAAAACATTATTCGTAGTTCCAGCAGCATGATACAAAAACATCTACTGTCAAATGTCTGACACGTCATTGTAAGGTTATAGGAGTGTTTGTTTATTTTCTTGTTAAATTCGCAATTTCTTCGTCATACAATGTTCAAGAAACTCAAAGAAAAGATCACAGAAGAGGTGAAAAGTTCGCCTCAGCGTTTCCAACAGCTGACCCAATCCGTCAGCGACCGCCTGCAAAACGCGTCCACCTCAGACGAAAACTTCTTTTCGATAGCCGAAGACGGTATTTACGTGTGAACTCACCCCGGTGCTGCATCCATACACAAATTTTCTAAATTTCCAGATGCCACCAACATTTCGAACAGCAGCCTCGAACCAGGGTTTACCAACGTGTCCTTAACGTCACCTCAGGAGAGCAAATTCAGACGCAACTCGAGTTCTTCTGTAGCCAGTGACGTCTCGTTCTTGCCGAGGTACGAGTCCTTCGCCAACATGTACCATCTTCAGTCGGATCTGGAAATCTCGGCCAGCGAAATCGAAGACAACGCCAGCACGTCGTCTCAACTCGGACATTTGAGCAAAGAGCAAATCTACTCGGCATTCCAGAAGGCGCAGATGCGCTATCATAAATACAGGGGGCGTTACACGGACTTGGCGAAACACTACAAGGATTTGGAGAGGGAGAACAGCAAGATGAAGAGCGTTCTCGTGGAGACGCAAGATAAAGCGATCCGTAGGGTCACCGAGCTGAAGGAGCAGTGCTCGCTCGAGCAGAAAGCCAAAGCGCACTTGGAGGGGGCGCTAAGGGACGAAATCGACGAAAAGCAACTCAAGATAGAATCGCTGCAGACGAAAATCGAGTTGTTGCAGAACGGAGCCAACTCCAATCAAGACGGGGAGAGTTTGGAGACTCTGAATAAGTACCTGACGGACGCTCGACAGGAGATCGAGAGTTTGAACGCCAAGATTCAGGAGATGAAAGCTAACGTAATCATTTTTCAAACCAAGGAGCAGGAATATAAATTGAAGATTTCGGGGTTGGAGAAGGAGGTGACGTTGTTTGCGGAACGCGAGAAAGAAAACAACTTGACTCTGGCTCAGAATAAAATGGAACTGCACCATGAACTCTTGAGCAAAGACAACGAAATCACTAATCTGAAAAAGGACAATGAGACGCTGAAGAAGAATTTAGATGTTTTGGTGACCGGCGGTGGAAAGCTGGAAAATCTACAAAGCCAGAATAAAAAATTGATCGAGAAACTGGAAAATCTCACGTCCAAGTGCAACGGCTACGAAAACGAGCTACTGAAAATGGAACAGCACAAAATCGAAGCGCAAAATTCTAACCAGTTGAACGCCGATCTGAAGAACCAGTTGAAAGAAATGGAAGAGAAATTAGAAGCAGTGAGGGAGGATGCGAAGAAGAGTTTGATAAGCTTGGAAGAAAAGGTGCGAGAGAAGTTGCGAACGGAGTTCGAAAAAAAAGAGGAAGAGCTGCGGACGGACTTGGACAAGAAACTCGAGGAAATTTCGTCAGGCGAAGAAAAAGATTTCGAGTTGGCGCTTTGGGAAAAGGACGAAGAGATCCAAAGATTGAAGAACGTCAACGGGGAGCTTCTGGAAAGTTTGACTTCAAAGACACGTCAGTACGACGATTTGGAGAAAAACCACCTCGAGTTGATAGACGATAGCGTCAGAATCAGGAGCAACGTCAGCAATTTAGAAAAAGACTTAATTACATCTAAGAACGACAACCACGTGTGTCAACTGAAAATCGGAAGATTGGAGTCAGACGTAGCAAATCTCGAGAAGAACGTCCAGGATTACGAAACCAACGAAAGTCGACTCTTAAAAGAAAAAGACGTTATCGCGAACGAACTACAAACCGTTAGAGATTTGATGAAGGACGGTTTAACGAAATCCGACGAAGTGGATTTGCTGAAATCCACGCTACAAAGTCTGGAAGAAGAAAAAGAGAAACTCGTACAAGTGGTGGAAGATGAGCGTCAAAAACGTGACGAACAGTGTAGGAAAAACGCCGAGCTTCTCGAAAACATACAACACCTTAAAGATGCGATTCAAAAACGTGAAGAAAATCTCGACAAGAAGAAGAAAGGATTGGAACGGAAATTAGAAGATGAGAAAATTAAACTTCAAGAGAAGCTCGAAGCGAGCGAAAACACCGTACGAAGATTAGAAGAAACGAGCACACAACTTGGCGAAGAATTAAAAGAACTGAACGAGAAGAAAGAAGAAGTTGTAGCGTTGGGGGCAGAACTCGAAAAGTCGACTCGAGAGAAAAATGAGTTGAGTCTAAAAGTCGTTTTTCTCGGAGAGGAATTGAGTAAGAGCGAAGAAAGCAACTCGCTTTTGAGAAAAGCCCTTGAAGAAGAAAAGGAACGAGTGACGCGAAGTCTCGCAGACAGCGAAGTGGAAGTGAAGCGAGTGGAAGGTCATAATTCCGAGTTAATTTTTAGGGTTGAAGATCTAGAAAAGAAGTTAGTCGACGTCACCGCTAGCTTAGAAAACGAACGACAGGTAAATTCGGTTCTTCGGTCCGAGGAGAGCAGACGTGGAGACTTGGAAGAAACGAATGCAGAATTGAGACGGTTAGTTGAAGAAAAGGATGCAAAAATGGAAGAAGCTGTCGGTCAGCTGGAAGGAGAAGTGGCAACATTTAAGGACACGTTGAGAAGACAAGAGGAAGAAGTTGGTGGTCTGAGGGAAGAGTTGTTGAAGAATTCGACCGAAATGAAGAAACGCGACGAAGAACGAAACCAAACGCTCGAGGAATTAAATTTACTTAAAAAACTCTTAGAAGAGGCTAATAATAATTTAACTGTAAAAGAACACGAGATGCGAAATTTAGAGCGAAAGTATGTAGAGTCGGAAGAAACTCTTGAACGTGTTTCTCAAAACTTGGAAGCTCGTTTAAGCAAAGAAGAAGACTTGCTAATCAAACAGGACAAATGCGAAAAAGACCTAAAACTAAAAGAAACCCTTATATCCGCCCTTTCGAAAAAATTAGACGAATACAACGACTTCATCGATCAGAGAAACGAAGGATTCTCAAAAATCTTCACAAACTTCCCCGGAGAGACACCGAATCATTTCGTCCACAACAAAGACCACAAGAACTTGCAAAATCTCGAAGAGAAGTTGCAGATCTTCGAGAAAACCTTCTCGATGGAGAAGGAGAATCTAACGAAGATCTTAACTTATTTGAAAAAATTTGAAGAGAAATATTCTTCTGCGGAGTTCGAAAGGGCTCAGTTGGAGCACGAAAAAGGACGGCTTTCGGGCGAAGTGGAGCAGCTGCGATCGACGATTCAAGAGCTGACTTCGACACGGTCCGACACAAAATTGACAGAAGAAGAATTCGTGCGTCTGAAAGAAGAAAACGCGACTCTGGTCGAAGAAAGGAAAAAAGTCGAACAAAGCCTTCTCGAACTGGAGTCGCGAAACGCGCAAGTGGTTTCTGATAGTAATTTCCTTTCCGAAGAAAACAACGCTTTAGTGACGGAACTCGAAGAACTGAAAATAAAGAACGAAGAAACGAGGAAACGAGCGGAAAACGACTCGAGGCAGAACGCGGAATTGGAACGTCACGTTGGCGAATTGCAGCACGAAAAGCAGCTGCTGCAAGAAGAAATTGAGGAGCTGAAAACGGCACCGATAAATCTACACGACAACGTCGAAGCGAAGAACAAGGAAGAGGAGTACGCTAAAGAAATCGAAAATTTGAGGACGAAAGTGGTTCAGTATAAGAGTCTGGACTTGACGAATCGTAGTTCGATCGAGTTTTACGAAAACGAGTTGCAGAAACTCAAAAATCAAAACGAGAAGTTGAATCGGAAGCTCGACGAGACCCTAGTCACCCTCAACCATTGCTCGGAGCTGTCGAATTCGACGGAGATCGAGTATTTGAAGAACGTTTTGTACAATTACATGCTGGGGAAGGAGAGTTTGGTCTTGGCGAGAGTGATAGCGGCAGTCTGCAAGTTCGACCCCCATCAGACTGAGTTGATTTTAGCCAAAGAACAGCAGAAACAGACGCTGGTAAGTCGCGAGGTCCGCTAATGGTCGTAAAATAATTTTTGGTTTTGTTGCAGCTGGGCCAGTTGGGAATTCTTTAATACGAGTACCTCACGGCAGTATTTTTAACTAACGTAGGCGCATTCCATGTTCTCATTATGTACAAAACGGCAAACGATTTTACTAATTTAATTACTAATGCACTAGCGGTTGTAAATATTTTGTTATTTGTGTCTTATATTTATGTATTGTTATAATAAACTAACTTTCGTAAAATCGGCTTTATTGGGGAAACGTAAGTAAAAATATTCGTAATAACTTAAGCATACACACTTCAGAAGTGAACAAATAGACGTTAAGACTTATGTACACGGCTTGCGCACGAAAACTAAAACCTCTTCAAGAACTCCTCCGACACTATCCTCGCCCTCGCGTTCACCGCCAACTTCATCTCCGAAACCTCCTTGTCGATCTCCTCCATGAAATGTATGACGAAGTCGACCAGCTTGTGTTTGTACATCTGTTCCGTGTGAAAGTTGGTGATCAGGAAACTGATGTCGTACCCTTCGATGGGCTTCCTCCGCAAGACGACGAAGTTCTCGGCCCGCATCATCATGAATCGCATGAACTTCTTGCAAAGGATCTTCTCGATTTCGTCGGCCTGTTTGACGGCGATGCTGATGCGGACGGAGTTCACCGAGGTCTCTATGAACACTTTTTCCTTTTCGTTTCGTGAGATGACGACGGGAGTCATCAGGAGCTCCTTGCTGGACCTAACCTCGACTTCCGGCTTGTTGTGGCGTTCTACGACCTGCGAGGAGAAGTTCTCGAGGCACATGGCTGCGGTCAGGGTGTGACGAACGGCGGTCAAGTAGGGTCTTAGCGTTGCGGACATTTCTGCGACTTTTTCCGTCCGAAAAACAAACAACGAAACGTTTACTATCTGTGTGTAAGCAAGCACACAAACAGACACCACGCCTCTGCGACGAAAACCGTCGGCGAAACGTCATCCATCGGACGCCAAGGTCGCTGTATAATGTGTGGCATAACGTACGCCTTTCGAACGAAAACTCCCTGCTGCAATGCTGACAGTTGTTTTCTTTTTGCAGTGGACGGCACTATTTAAACACAGTATACGTTACAGTAGAGACAGCTCGTCAAATATTGGAACAACGTGTCCTCACCCAACCGTTTTGATTAGGCGGGATTTTTGAATCGCAGTGGAATATTGGTTGCCTAAATTACAAATACAGCTCGTCCGTAAAACAATGTAAAAGGAACTGATATAAACATCGAATGAATTGAAACCAATTTTTGGAGTGTGATATGAAGACTACGAAAAAAATTGGTCTAAAGAGTTTCGACAGTACTTCCCTCGCTGTCGGAAACGTGACGACTGCATGCCTATTATGTTTATTTTTCGCAGTGGATTTCAAAGAATTCGGTTTTGTAGTTCAAGTAGTAAATCAATAAAATAAATTTACGCATTAATTAATTATTTTGAGTCACCCTGTATATGCAACCCCAAAAAAAATCAATGGAGTGATAAATCACAAGTACAGACTCATCATATTTTGTACAGTTTAGATAGACCATTGGAAAATTTTCAATTTTGAAAAAGTCGTCTAAAAATTCTGAAAAAATTCAGGGAGGTAGATCACGACGTGCTGATTCCAAAAATATAGCCTGTTGATGGTCGCGGAGCGACATTTACGAAAAAATCGGTACGAAATGCCTAATTTATAGCAATTTCAAAATTTTCGTTATTTCAACCGTCGATTCTGGAAAAACGGTTGCAGCTATCAAAAAATCGAGGCCGGAAGCGAGTTCTAAAGCTCGAAATCTACAAGAAAATGTACTCAGTTAGGTTTCGAAAATGTCAAAATTTCGGCGAAATTTGAAGAAGGGGGGACCATTGGAAAATTTTCACTTTTAAAAAAATCGTTTAAAAATTCTGAAAAAATTTAGGCACGTAGATCTCGACGTGCTGATTCCAAAAATATAGCCTGTTGATGGTCGCGGAGCGACATTTACGAAAAAATCGGTACGAAATGCCTAATTTATAGCAATTTCAAAATTTTCGTTATTTCAACCGTCGATTCTGGAAAAACGGTTGCAGCTATCAAAAAATCGAGGCCGGAAGCGAGTTCTAAAGCTCGAAATCTACAAGAAAATGTACTCAGTTAGGTTTCGAAAATGTCAAAATTTCGGCGAAATTTGAAGAAGGGGGGACCATTGGAAAATTTTCACTTTTAAAAAAATCGTTTAAAAATTCTGAAAAAATTTAGGCACGTAGATCTCGACGTGCTGATTCCAAAAATATAGCCCGTTGATGGTCGCGGAACGACATTTTCGAAAAAATCGGTACGAAATGCCTAATTTATCGAATTTTCAAAAATTTCGATATTTCAACCGTCGATTCTGGAAAAACGGTTGCAGCTATCAAAGAATCGAGGCCGGAAGTGAGTTCTAGAGCTCGAAATCTACAAGAAAATGTACTCAGTTAGGTTTCAAAAATGTCAAAATTTGGCCGAAATTTGAAGAAGGGGGGACCATTGGAAAATTTTCACTTTTGAAAAAGTCGTTTAAAAATTCTGAAAAAATTCAGGGATGTAGATCTCGACGTGCTGATTCCAAAAATATAGGCTGTTGATGGTCGCGGAGCGACATTTTCGAAAAAATCGGTACGAAATGCCTAATTTATCGAATTTTCAGAAATTTCGATATTTCAACCGTCGATTCTGGAAAAACGGTTGCAGCTATCAAAAAATCGAGGCCGGAAGTGAGTTCTAGAGCTCGAAATCTACAAGAAAATGTACTCAGTTAGGTTTCGAAAATGTCAAAATTTGGCCGAAATTTGAAGAAGGGGGGACCATTGGAAAATTTTCACTTTTGAAAAAGTCGTTTAAAAATTCTGAAAAAATTCAGGGACGTAGATCTCGACGTGCTGATTCCAAAAATATAGGCTGTTGATGGTCGCGGAGCGACATTTTCGAAAAAATCGGTACGAAATGCCTAATTTATCGAATTTTCAAAAATTTCGATATTTCAACCGTCGATTCTGGAAAAACGGTTGCAGCTATCAAAGAATCGAGGCCGGAAGTGAGTTCTAGAGCTCGAAATCTACAAGAAAATGTACTCAGTTAGGTTTCGAAAATGTCAAAATTTGGCCGAAATTTGAAGAAGGCGGGACCATTGGAAAATTTTCACTTTTGAAAAAGTCGTTTAAAAATTCTGAAAAAATTTAGGGACGTAGATCTCGACGTGCTGATTCCAAAAATATAGGCTGTTGATGGTCGCGGAGCGACATTTTCGAAAAAATCGGTACGAAATGCCTAATTTATCGAATTTTCAAAAATTTCGATATTTCAACCGTCGATTCTGGAAAAACGGTTGCAGCTATCAAAGAATCGAGGCCGGAAGTGAGTTCTAGAGCTCGAAATCTACAAGAAAATGTACTCAGTTAGGTTTCGAAAATGTCAAAATTTGGCCGAAATTTGAAGAAGGCGGGACCATTGGAAAATTTTCACTTTTGAAAAAGTCGTTTAAAAATTCTGAAAAAATTCAGGGACGTAGATCTCGACGTGCTGATTCCAAAAATATAGGCTGTTGATGGTCGCGGAGCGACATTTTCGAAAAAATCGGTACGAAATGCCTAATTTATCGAATTTTCAAAAATTTCGATATTTCAACCGTCGATTCTGGAAAAACGGTTGCAGCTATCAAAGAATCGAGGCCGGAAGTGAGTTCTAGAGCTCGAAATCTACAAGAAAATGTACTCAGTTAGGTTTCGAAAATGTCAAAATTTGGCCGAAATTTGAAGAAGGAACCATTGGAAAATTTTCACTTTTGAAAAAGTCGTAAATATTCTGAAAAAATTCAGGGACGTAGATCTCGACGTGCTGATTCCAAAAATATATGCTGTTGATGGTCCCGGAGCGACATTTTCGAAAAAATCGGTACGAAATGCCTAATTTATCGAATTTTCAAAAATTTCGATATTTCAACCGTCGATTCTGGAAAAACGGTTGCAGCTATCAAAAAATCGAGGCCGGAAGCGAGTTCTAAAGCTCGAAATCTACAAGAAAATGTACTCAGTTAGGTTTCGAAAATGTCAAAATTTCGGCGAAATTTGAAGAAGGGGGGACCATTGGAAAATTTTCACTTTTAAAAAAATCGTTTAAAAATTCTGAAAAAATTTAGGCACGTAGATCTCGACGTGCTGATTCCAAAAATATAGCCCGTTGATGGTCGCGGAACGACATTTTCGAAAAAATCGGTACGAAATGCCTAATTTATCGAATTTTCAAAAATTTCGATATTTCAACCGTCGATTCTGGAAAAACGGTTGCAGCTATCAAAGAATCGAGGCCGGAAGTGAGTTCTAGAGCTCGAAATCTACAAGAAAATGTACTCAGTTAGGTTTCAAAAATGTCAAAATTTGGCCGAAATTTGAAGAAGGGGGGACCATTGGAAAATTTTCACTTTTGAAAAAGTCGTTTAAAAATTCTGAAAAAATTCAGGGACGTAGATCTCGACGTGCTGATTCCAAAAATATAGGCTGTTGATGGTCGCGGAGCGACATTTTCGAAAAAATCGGTACGAAATGCCTAATTTATCGAATTTTCAGAAATTTCGAAATTTCAACCGTTGATTCTGGAAAAACGGTTGCAGCTATCAAAAAATCGAGGCTGGAAGTGAGTTCTAGAGCTCGAAATCTACAAGAAAATGTACTCAGTTGGGTTTCGAAAATGTCAAAATTTCGGCGAAATTTGAAGAAGGGGGGACCATTGGAAAATTTTCACTTTAAAAAAGTCGTCTAAAAATTCTGAAAAAATTCAGGGACGTAGACCTCGACGTGCTGATTCCAAAAATATAGCCTGTTGATGGTCGCGGAGCAACATTTTCGAAAAAATCGGTTCGAAATGCCTAATTTATCGAATTTTCAAAAATTTCGATATTTCAACCGTCGATTCTGGAAAAACGGTTGCAGCTATCAAAGAATCGAGGCCGGAAGTGAGTTCTAGAGCTCGAAATCTACAAGAAAATGTACTCAGTTAGGTTTCGAAAATGTCAAAATTTGGCCGAAATTTGAAGAAGGGGGGACCATTGGAAAATTTTCACTTTTGAAAAAGTCGTTTAAAAATTCTGAAAAAATTCAGGGATGTAGATCTCGACGTGCTGATTCCAAAAATATAGGCTGTTGATGGTCGCGGAGCGACATTTTCGAAAAAATCGGTACGAAATGCCTAATTTATCGAATTTTCAGAAATTTCGATATTTCAACCGTCGATTCTGGAAAAACGGTTGCAGCTATCAAAAAATCGAGGCCGGAAGTGAGTTCTAGAGCTCGAAATCTACAAGAAAATGTACTCAGTTAGGTTTCGAAAATGTCAAAATTTGGCCGAAATTTGAAGAAGGGGGGACCATTGGAAAATTTTCACTTTTGAAAAAGTCGTTTAAAAATTCTGAAAAAATTCAGGGACGTAGATCTCGACGTGCTGATTCCAAAAATATAGGCTGTTGATGGTCGCGGAGCGACATTTTCGAAAAAATCGGTACGAAATGCCTAATTTATCGAATTTTCAAAAATTTCGATATTTCAACCGTCGATTCTGGAAAAACGGTTGCAGCTATCAAAGAATCGAGGCCGGAAGTGAGTTCTAGAGCTCGAAATCTACAAGAAAATGTACTCAGTTAGGTTTCGAAAATGTCAAAATTTGGCCGAAATTTGAAGAAGGCGGGACCATTGGAAAATTTTCACTTTTGAAAAAGTCGTTTAAAAATTCTGAAAAAATTTAGGGACGTAGATCTCGACGTGCTGATTCCAAAAATATAGGCTGTTGATGGTCGCGGAGCGACATTTTCGAAAAAATCGGTACGAAATGCCTAATTTATCGAATTTTCAAAAATTTCGATATTTCAACCGTCGATTCTGGAAAAACGGTTGCAGCTATCAAAGAATCGAGGCCGGAAGTGAGTTCTAGAGCTCGAAATCTACAAGAAAATGTACTCAGTTAGGTTT